CTTTCTGGGCGCGAAGGGATGCAGAGTGCCATTGGATTTTCTAGACCTAGGGCGGGGCCAGTGATGATGGGTGTGGCCGAGACAAGAGGCGGGGCCAGTGTTCAGGACGCCGGTCGGGGCCTTGGAGGGAGGTGGTCTTCAGGCATAGGCTAGGTGGGGGCGTGGCCTCAGGCTGTAGGCGTGGCCTAAGACAGGTGGGAAAGGCTGGGAGGTTGACCCCGAGGGGCGGAGCCTCATGACTGGTGATGAAGGCCTGGGATGAAGGGAGGAGAGTGGAGGGATGGAGATGGGACAGAGAGCCAAGAACCAAGCTGGGTCTGTCTAAGGGGTGTCTCGGCCGGGGAGGGGCGTGGTCTGGCGCGCAGCAAAATGGGGATAAGGAGGGGTCCAAGTTTGGGGAGAAGGGGCGGTGCCTGGCCCAAGGTGGGCGGGGTCGGCAGGCAGGAGCATCTGAAGGCCATCTGTGGAGGGGCGGGGTCTTTGTGGGCGTGGTATGTGCGGGGTCTCGATGGGAGGGGCCTGGCCGAGGTGGGGGGGGCGGGCCTGGGGGGGGCCCAGTGGGGCAGAGGTGGGCAGAAGGAAGAGGGTGTCCATCACCCACCCTCCTCCTGGTTTCTGGACCTCCATCGTCACCCCTAGACTCCCATGAGATCACCTGGCCATCTTCCACTCAAATCCCAATCCAGGCCCTAACCCTGCAACCCTGTGTGCACACCCCTCTCCCCAAGTCCTGGGGTCGGGAGCTCCAGCCTCCCCAACTGGACTCAAGCCCCTAGACTTCCTCTGTTTCCCTTTCTCTCTCTTCACCCACTGCTCTGGGAATCCAAAGCCAGGCAAGCTTGTAGTATCCACTCCACCCATCGAAGGCCTAGAAGAATCCAGGCTGAGCCCCTTTATTCATCTTTATTCACCTTGATTTCCCATCTGTGGGAAAAAGAGATCCGGGAGATCCGGGACACAGCAGATGCTCAGGCCTTGCATAAAATACCTAAGATGCAATGCTGCGTATATCGGCAGAGCCCCCGTGCTGGGGTGCGGAACATCACATCCCCACCTCCCGGGCACCTTCATCGGCCTATAACTGTTGAAGGCATGTGTGCATGAGCTGTTCTGGAACATTCTGCAGATACTCCCCTTAGGAACCCAAGGTCGGCGCCTCAATTCCAGATGAGCCAGATGGCAGAAGGCATGGCATCCACATGCCCGCACGCACGCACACACACACACGTGCCCCTGGCAGCCACGCTCCACTGCATGCCAGACACAGACACGAGAACCAAGAACTTCCCTGGGCTGTACCCCAGAACCACAGCGCCCATCCTGTGGCACAGCAGCGAAGGGCAGAGGTCCTGGGGTTCCCTAAGGGGAAGGAAGGAGAGGGAGGAGACTGGGCAGAAAAGAGCCTGAACTTCACAGAAGCCTTCTGGAGTCAGCTTGGAGACAGGAAGACACGGGTGGAGCCCAGTGGTAGAGCATTTGTCTGGCATGTGTGAGATCCTGGGTTCCATCCCCAGTGCTGCATTAAAGAAAGGCAGGGGGCAGTCTGAGGGGAAGCTCTACCCCTGGCACCAACTGACTCTCCTGGCAGAGGCAAATTCTCATATAAGAGACATTAGCTACAAGCCAGGCGCCAGTGGCTCACGCCTGTCATCCTAGCTAGTCAGGAGACTGAGATCTGAGGATCAAAGTTCAAAGCCAGCCCGGGCAGGAAATTCTGTGAGACTCTTATCTCCAATGAAGCAGAGGGGTGGCTCAAGGGGTAGAACACCAGCCTTGAGCAAAAAGCCCCCCTCAGGGACAGTGCCCAGGCCCTGAGTTCAAACCCCAGTACTGACCCTTCAGAAAAGAAAAAAAAAATCAATGGGGAGGGTTTAGCTAGAAGGCAGAACTCTTGGTGCTTGTGACGCGGTGGCTTGCAGGACAAGGAGTATTTTACATGACAAGCCCAGTGTGGGCATCAGGCCAGGCAAGACCAAGGTCGTGAACCCCAGGCAGGCTCCTGGCCCAAGCCACAGCAAGCCCCATTTTCAAGCGTGTGTGAATGACCCACTGCGGCCTAGCCCACAGGCCTGTCCACCATCTGGTCCACAGCTGGCTTCCTGGGGCAGTGGCCTCCCCACCTGCTCCCCTGCTTGGGGCCAGCTGCGGGCCCCTGGTCCCCGGCGTCAGAGCTCAAGGTCCAGGTGTCCTAGGAGAGGAAATCGAGCCCGAGGGAAGCAGGGTTGAGAAGAGCGCGCCCGTATCCAAAGGTAAACTGCATCTCAGTAAAGTGCCAGGGGGTCTGATACGCTGGCTCCTCGTTAGGCTGGGCTCTGAGGCCTCGGGTCAGTGGCCCTGCCAGCCATGGCTGGGCTCCTTTCCGTCCTTAGAGTGTAGGATGACAGGCTGGGAAGGCGGCTCAGCAATAGAGTGCTGGCCTCTCAGGCATGAAGCCCTGGCTCCATTCCTCAGTACCACATACAAAGAAAAAGCTGCAAGTGGTGCTGTGGCTCAATGATAGTGCATTAGCCTTGAGGAAAAAAAAATGCTCATGGACAGTGCTCAGGCCCTGAGTTCAAGCCCTAGGACTGGCAAAAAAAAATAAAAGAGAAAAAGCAGAGAGAGGGATGACAAAACACAGCACTCAGGACTCCCTTAGGTGATGGGCATGCCGTCACCCAGCCGCCACAGCCCTGCCAGACTCGGCCACTTCAATAAACCCGAACACCCTCATCTTTCTATTTCTGTATTTTTTTTCTTTATTTTTTTGTCGGTTGTGGGTCTTGAACTCTGGGCCTGGGTGCTGTCCCTCAGCTCTTCAGCTTAAGGTGAGCGCTCTACCACTTGAGCCACTTCCAGTTTTCTAGTTGTTAATGAAGAGATAAGAATGTCATATGGGGCTGGGAAGGTGGCTCAGTGGTAGAGCGCTTGCCTTGCATGCATGAGGCCCTGGGTTCCATTCCTCAGCACCACATAAGCAGGGAAAAAAAAAGCTGGTTTTGGTGCTGTGGCTCAAGTGGTAGAACGCTAGCTTTGAGCTGAAGAGCTGGGGGACAGCGCCCAGGCCGAGTTCAGGCCCCACAACCGGACCCCGTCACCTCCCCCAAGAAAAAAGAATGTCACAGACTTTCCTGCCCAGGCTGGCTTTGAACTGTGATTCTCAGATCTCAGCCTCCTGAGTTGCTGGGATGACAGGTGTGAGCCACCAGTCCATTGCTGCGTTTGTTTTTTGAGACAGGGTCTTCTTCTGTAGCTCTGGTTAGTCTTTTTTTTTTTTTTTTTGGTTGGCAGTGAAGCTGGAACTCAGCCTGGGCGCTGTCCTTGAGCTCTTTTGTTCAATGCTAGCACTCCACCACTTGAGTGACAGCACCACTTCTGGCTTTTCCTGAATAGTTTAGGTCCTGTGGACTTTACTGCCAAGGCTGGCTTTGAACTGTGATCCTCAGATCTTGGCCTCCTGAGTAGCTGGGTGACAGGTGTGGGCCAAGGGTCCCACCTATCTCCTTATTTCTAAGTGAGCTCAAGTCTCAGTACACCATTAGTGCAGAATAAATAAATCACCAGTGTGGAAGAGAGCCGGGAGTTTGGCTCAGCCGTAGAACAGACCTAGCAAGTCCAAGGCCCAAGTTGAAATCCCCATACTTCCCTGAGGAAAGAACCAAACATTCCAGAATGTTCTAGAACATTCACTACTGGTGAACATTCTATGGAAGGACCTAGCCCAGCACCAGGAAGGGGGGGGGGATCGCAGGCAAGGCGGGGTGCGAGGGAGGGTGTTGACAGAGATGTATGGGGAGCAGCCGTCTGGGGGGTGTGTCCCAGCTGCGGCCCGGACGCCCAGCCTGTCCCATCTGCCACGGGAGCCATTTATTAAACCCATCATCACGCAGGCAAACAAGCCACCGCTTAATTGTCAACATGACACTGTGGGGGCCAGGACCTCCTGACGCCTGTGCGCTGTGTGCGCTGGCTGGCTGGAGGGACAGCCGTTGGGGGGACTCAGAGGCAAACAGCCGGATCGCTGGGGACCCCCAGAGCTCCAGGCGAGGCCCGAGCAGTCCCTGACTCTGGTGGTGCCCACCCCTCCCTGGAGGGTTCCACATCCATCCGTCTGTCCTGTCACACATTTGGGGCTCCAGATATGGGTCTGTCGCCAGGGAAGCAGGTTGGCCAGTTTCTATGGCTACCCTGTGCTACCCAGGATGCTTCTGCCAGTTACCATGGCGCCAGCTACCCCCCCCACCCCCCTGGGCTACCCAGGATGCTGGGCAGCTTCTGCCAGTTACCATGGCGCCAGCCACCCCCATCCACCCCCCTCCCCTGGGCTGGTCTGCAGAAAGGTGGAGGTGGGCGGAGCCTGGAGAGGAGAGCCGGGCTGAGGACGGCGGTCCTCGGCCACGCAGGACGCAGGGCACAAGCGCCTTTCCCTCCTGGGGCTCCAGGATGGGCTTCTGGGCACAGTGTCCTCAAGGCCTTTGGGTACCACTGGGGCCCGGACACCCCAACAAGTCATTCCCTGTGTCTGAAAACGTGGCTCAGTGATAGAGCACCCGCCTAGCAAAAGCAAGGCCCTGGAGGCTGGCGGCTCACGCCTGCCACCCCAGCCATTCAGGGCTGAGATGTGAGGATCCTGGTTTAAAACCAGCCCTGGGGCTGGGAAGGGTTCAGCGGTAGAGCGCTCGCCTCGAAGGAAGAACTGAGGGACAGCGCCCAGGCCCAGAGTTCAGGCCCCACGACCAACCAAAAAACCCCACAAAACCCAACCCTTGCAGCAAAGTTCGTGAGATGCTGCGTGAGAAAGCGCAGGGGCAGCACCCAGGCACTGCTGGATGGGCTGACTGAACCGGGCTCTGAGGAGCTCAGCTGCGGCAGCTGTTGGGCACAGCCCAGCGGTACCCGGCATGGGACAGAGCCAGGGGTCAAAGCCACGACGCACCGACCGACGGGAACCAGCCCGGCCAGACTGCACACACGATTTATTCCCCACTTGTGCACAGAGCTCCCACCCATGGCCTGGGGTTGGGGGGGCTGGGAAAGTGGGAAGCAGAGCCAAAGGCCCCCCATGGCCTCAGACACCCCCCAAAGGGAGTGGGGGGTGGGGGGGGAGAGGAAGGCAACACCAAACAGGCTCAAACACTCCGAAGCCACAAGATAGACGAAAGCTTGCCCCAGAGACAGGGACAGGGAGGAACAGGGTCACACCTGGGGCCCGGGGGCGGAGGAAGGACAGGACCAGGACGGGGTGGGGGAGTGGGGTGGGGAGCAGAAGCCCCAGGCCTGTTCCCCGTGACCTTGGCTGAGGTGGCGGCAGAGACAGGCCTAGAGCTTGGTGAGGTCCAGACGCAGTTTGTAGGACGGGGGGCTGTCGGGGCAGCCGGGGGACGCCGTCGGGTAGGGGGGCCAGTCCGCCTCCAGGGTCAGGGGCTGTGTGGGGCCAGCGCCTGGTCACTGCCGGGTGGACAGAGCCAGCCCCCCCCCCGTCTACCCCCCGCACCCACCTGGAACTTGAGGTGCGGGCGCGGCGCGGAGACCAGGGTGCAGCAGCTGAGCCACAAGGTGACCAGCAGGGACAGGAAGAGGCAGCAGGAGAGGACCCAGCGGGGCAGCCCCGAGCGCCTGCGCCAACACGCAGCTCAGCGGGGGCGCGGACTGGACCCCCTGCCCACCGGGACCCTCCCCCCACCACAGCCCCCACCCTGCCGACCCCATGGCCCCCCTGCCCACCGGGACATGCAGCTGAGGAAGTCCCCATCCTGGGGCTCCACCGGCTCCGCCCGCGCTCTGCTATGCGTCTTCACCCGGATCTTGGCCTTGCGCACCTCGTCCAGGGGGCCCACAGGGTCTGCGAGACAGGCGTCCTTTCGGGGGGGCCAAGAACCCCGAAAGAGGACCCTCCATATGCAACGGAGGAGACCACGACCAGGTGGACCCCAAACCCAGGAGATGAACCCCGAGTCCTGCGGCTGGAGCTGCGGACGGAGACCCCCGCTTCCACCAGCCTGCTGGCAGGAGGCTGCCGGGACGGGGAGCCCCCCAGGGCGAGCCCCGCTGGGCCTGGGCCTTACCCACGTGCACCTCCAGGGCCTGGGGGCGAGATCCCCTCCACGTCAGCTCCACGCGCCGCAGCCGGCTGTCCTGAGATCCCAGCTCCTCCACTACAGGCTGGCTCTGGTGGGCACAGAGCACACCGAGGCTTCTGAACCCCAGCAGGCCCCCCTCGGGACCAAAGGGCTGACAGCGTCCTGGGCCTGGCAGGCCACAGGCTGTCAGAGGGAAAAACTCCTGGAGGTGGCGGGAGACGGAGCTCCTCCATCCTGCCTCCCTGAGCTCCGTCATCCTGCCTCCCTGAGCTCCTCCATCCTGCCTCCCTGAGCTCCGTCATCCTGAGTTTTCTGTGCTATGAGCTACTCCCCACCCGCTGTCCCACCACTTGCCTGCACTGGGTCCACCCAAGACCCACATGCTCACCTGAAAGACCACCACCTTCCCATTATCCGTCTGCAGGTAGTACGTCCAGGTGGAGGACACAAAGCCCTGGGCAGAGCTGAGCAGGTCATTGCAGAGGGTGGAAAACAGATCCAGGAGGGAGACGGCCCCGCTAGGTGCTTCTAGAACTTTCCTCTGGGTGAGGGGATAAGCAAAGAAAAGTCAGCCAAGCAGGGCTCTGGGACTGAAATACATACACGCGCGCGTGCACACACACACACACACACACACACACACACGTATATATGTGCTTTATTCAATGAACATCCACGCCATGTGTGTTTGCCCTAACATGAAGAGAATGCTCTTCCCTCAGCCTCTCAAATTCGGCTGGATCATGCCTTCAGTGACCACACTGCTCACATTAAACCGCTTGCTTTCTGGGCACCAAAGGCTCATGCCTCTAATCCTGGCTATTCAGGTATGAGGATCCCAGTTCAAAGCTTGCCCGGCCAGAAAAGTATTCCTAGTTAACCAATGAAAAGCCAGAAGTGGCTGGAATGTTACTCAGCAGCAAAGCACTTGCCTAGCAAGTACAACGTCCTGGGTTTGATCCACAGTACCAAAAAAGAAAAGACAAAAAAATAGTTTAAAAAAAAAATCCAGGGGCTGGGAAGGTGGCTCAGTGGTAGAGCGCTTGCCTTGCATGCCTGAGGCCCTGGGTTCGATTCCCAGCACCACATAAACAAAAAGAAAAAAGCCAGAAGTGGTGCTGTGGCTCACGTGGTAGAGCGCTAGCCTTGAGCTGAAGAGCTGAGGGACAGCACCCAGGCCCAGAGTTCAGGCCCCACAACCGGACCCCCAAAAAAAATCCAAACAGAAAAACCCAGAAGTGGAGCTGTGCCCCCAAGAAGTAAAACACCGGGGCTGGGAAGTTGGCTCAGTGGTAGAGCTTGCTTTGCTTGCCTGAGGCCCTGGGTTTGATTCCTCAGCACCACATAAGCAAAAAGAAAACAGCCGGAAGTGGTGCTGTGGCTCAAGTGGTAGGGCGCTAGCCTTGAGCTGAAGACCTGAGGGACAGTGCCCAGGCCCAGAGTTCAAGCCCCATGACCAGACCCAAAAAAAAAAACAAACTCCCAGAGCTGACCTGGCCGCGCGCGCACACACACAGACACACATGCACACGCACGCACACACACCACACACACACAGATTTGAGTGGAGCTCCATTGCTGTGATGTGTCCCCCAGCAGGGTTGGGCTGGTGTCGGCCCTCTGTCTTGGGGTGCAGGGTTCGGGGGGACGCCCACCTTCCTTTCTGGCAGCAGCTCCGGCAGGGTGGTCTGGCTCCAGCAGCCCCAGCTGCAGGCTTGCTGCTCCGTGTCCTTCACGTAGGCTTCCAGGCAGGCTGCGAGGGGCAGAGCACAGTGGGGCCGCTGCCTGTGCCCCCCAGCACCCGCCCCCCGCCCTCCACCTCCGCCTCACCTGCGTCACACTCGGCCTGCGTGGCGTTGGGCTCGGAGCTCTGGGCCAGGAAGCTGCAGATGGAGAAGAGGCGGCAGCCCCGCTCACAGGCGCTGACCAGCACGGCCTTGTCGTAGGGTGACGCGGAGGGGGCCTCCGGCTCGGCCTGGGGGGACAGGGGCTCAGGAGAAGGGGGGCTCCGGCAAGGTTGGCTTCCCAGTTAAAACACAGAAACAGAGAGGGGAGGGCCGGACCCGCAGCCCCGGCTGCTCAGGTCGATGAGGATCGCAGTTCGAAACCAACCCGGGCAGGAAAGTCCCCTGGAGCTGATCTCCGTGAGTCATCAGAAAGCTGCCGGTGTGGCCGAGATGGTAGAGCACCAGCAAAGAGAAAAAGAGCGAAGGGGGGAAGGGGGAGGACAGGCCCCGACCCAGGGTTCGAGCCCCAGGCCCAGCACGGGGGACGGGGACCACGGAGACCGCGGGGTCCCTCTGGGGAGGGGATGAGGAGGAGCCAGGCGAGGCCTGTGGGCGGGAGGAGGTCGCGCCAGGGCCAACCCCCCCTCACACAGCGCGCACCCCGATCCTCCCCCTCACACAGTCCCGCACCCTGATCCTCCCTCCGCGGCCCCGCACCCCATCCTCCCCCC